CACCCCCACCCCACATCCCCCCCACTATCGCTTCCCAGGAATAGGGACGTGGCCCTGAGGTTGGAAACTAGCCTGACCACTTCTTCTGAGTAGGTGCTCTGCCCAAGCCACCTCACGTCCGGGGTCAAGATGCCTGAGGGAACCCCGGCAGACAGGACAGGGCAGGGCCCCTTCCCAGGCCTTGGTGGGCCCTCTGGCTCCCAGTCCCTGCTGGAGTCTAGACACAGGGGGCTGGCCCAGGCCTCCACCAGCCCCAAACCCCTCCTCCTTCAGGTGCTCTCCATCCCACCCTCAACCCGCCACCCCCCAGGGCAACAGAATGAGGCAGCAAGGCTTCTAGCCCTGGGTGCAGTCCAGGTCACAAGCCTCCTGCCTTTGTCCCCACAGGCCTGGCCAGCAGCCCCAGACACTGACATCCCCAGTGGTGCTGCTTCCTGGGCTGGGGTCCCTGCTGCATCCTAGGATCTCTGTGCCCAGGGTGGCACTGGGGACACTTCCAGGAGCAAAAGCCGCAGCAATGAGAATCTGGAAGGTGATACGGGCTGGAGGGGGCTTGGCCTCGGGGGGCCTGTCCAGCAGACTTGCCCCATGCTCTGGCCCGGCTCCATGTGCAGGCCGTGGCTGCCGGGATCCGTCCCCTGCCCGCAGGCCCGGGTCCGCTCCCAGCAGACCCAGAAAGGAGAGGGCTGGCTGAGGCAGGGTCCAGAGAACCTCGGGCCTCGGTGTGTGCCGCCAGGGTGCCAGGCACCATGCAGACAGGCCTAGGCCAGCACGGTTCCTATCCTTCCTCCACGAGCAGAGCTTGGGACACAGCAGACTTTCTGTGGAACCACTGACACCCCTGACCCGAGGTCCAGGAGTGGAGAGCTGCCCCCCACCGACTCTCATTTCTGAACCATCAAAGGAGGGGACCCACAGGGGCTTGCAGGCTCTGAGCTGCGTGGGTGCCGCCTGGGGCTGGCAGGGAGGGGCCAGATGGAGCCTGACCTAAAGCCGCCTTCCATCCTGCACTACTTCTCTCCTAGCCTGACCCGTTCTTGGATGGGGGTCATGTCCTGGCAGCAACACTCTCCTGTCTGCCCGGCTAGGCCAGTTGCCACCCACGGGCTTGTTCTTTCCCCCGAGGCCACCCCCCCAACACCCCCGCAGGCCACCCTCTCTCTGTGATATGGTTTGAAAGTAGTGCCCTGCTGAGGGGTGGGGAGGGGGCACCTGAGTGAGTAGGACATGTTCACTGAACGCACGTCTCCAAGGTTGCTTCTACGTCCTGAGCCCACGTTTGCTGCAACCAGGCCCTCTGGGGGACTCATGCTCTGGAGGTCCTGGGGTCCATGTGTAGGGTGGCTCTTTGAGCATGGTCTGCGTCAGCCCTGGGACTGAATGAAGCCCCGGGAGGGTGGGAGAGGCACTGCAGGGGAGGGTCCAGGGAAGGCGGGAAGGCCAAGGTGTGAGGCCCAGCAAAGCGGCTGGGGAGCTGGTCCAGTGCTGACCCTGTGCCCGCTGCCTCGGGCGGCCTGGCCCCATTCCAGGCCAGAGTTCGTGTAGGCACCACCCACCCTAGCCCAGGCCTTGGCCGGTCACCTCTGGTGAACATTGCAAAACCCCGGCCTGGCTCTGCTGGCTCTCCTCCCGGCGGGTGAGAGGCTGCAATGTAGGCGAGAGGAGGCAGAGGGAAGGGCCCTCCCTGCAGGGCCAGGCAGCAGCCCTGTGCAGGCACTGGGGGTACAGGGCTGCCTGGCACAGAGCTCCCAGAGCCCAGGGTGGGGTTTTGGCGCGGGTGGGTGCCTGAGCAAAGCTGGCTGCCTGCCTGCGAAGCTCTGGAGCTGGGCCACATGGGCTGGGAAGGGAGCAGGCCCAGGTGGGCCAGGGCTTCCTGCAATGGTAGCGGAGGGCGGAGGGGGCTCAAGGTGACTGCTGTGACCCTGCTGGTCTAGGGCAGCCCTGGAGGATTGGAGGCAGGACCGTGACCAACTGTTGGTGGGAGCTGGGAGGACCCGGGGGACTGAGGGAGCATGGAGAGGGCTGAGACGAGGTGGGAGCTGAGAGAGATACCGAGGACTGGTGGGCTGGCTGGGAGCTTTGGGAGGTGAGACAGAACCACAGGCCTTGTGAGTGGGTGGGGGGCACGTGGGGGTCTCCCAGGCATGGCCTGGGTGGAGGGGCATCGAGAGCGAGGGCAGGGGTACAGCTGGAAAGTGGCCAATGGAGGAGGCCTTGGTGGTTGGCATGGGGACTGGGGTGGACAGGACCAAGAGGACCCAGGACCAACCCGGGGGGGGGGGCAGGCACAGCCCCAGGAAACCAGATGGCCTGGGGGCATGGGGCGTACGCCCCTGAGGATGTACCGCTGCCCCCCACTCCCCGGCTCTGATGGCCCAGCTCTGTGGACGTGCTTGTGTATGACAGTCTGTATGTGTCTGTGTGGGGTGTGTGTACCTGTGTGCATGTGTGTGTGATGGTCTGTGTGTACACGTGTGTGATGGTCTGTGTGGGGTGTGTGTACCTGTGTGTTATGGTCTGTATGTGTGTACATATGTGTAATGGTCTGTGTACCTGTGTGTGTGTACATGTGTGGTCATCTGTGTGTACGTGTGTGATGGTCTGTGTGTGTCTGTGTGGGGTGTGAATGTGTACCTGTGAGTATGTGTGTGATGGTCTGTGTACCTGTGTGTGTGACTATGGGAGACAGGGTGTGAGCAGCCTAGGCCACCTTCCATCCACCCTCCTCTTTTACCCTAATCCAGGGAGGCCAGCTTAGCTCATCACCACGGCAACAGTATGGCTCCTCTGGCCAGCAAGACAGGGTAACCTGGTAGTGTTGGCTGTGCAGGGCAGAGGCGGGCTCTTTCCAGGGTGAGGGGCGGTGGTGCAGCCCTCTGGTAGGGTCCAGCCTGCTCCCCTCCTTGGAAAACACCTGCCTTGAGGGGACAGGAACTCCAAGAGGCGCCCACCCCACGCTGGCCTGAGCCTTGGCCGCCCTGAGAGGTGGCGGGGGGGCCAAGGGACACAGTCTGGCCATTCGGTCAGTGGGACAGCAGGATGAGGACCTGGTGCCTCAACCCCAGCTGAGCCCTCCTCCTGGTGGCCTCCCCCTGCTGTCTGCAGAAGCGGCCCCAGCTCTGCTGCCGGTGGGGTTGCTGACCTGGGCTGGGCCTGCCCATGGGACCCAGAGCTATTTTTAAGGCCCACTGGATGGACCTTCCAGGAACCAGGAAGAAACAGGTACTGGCGTCCTGCACGGCCAGGGACGTGGCGGACTGCAGGGGAGGGGTGGCCTGGGGTCACTCACCAAGGGCCCGGGGTTCCTTCATCAGGGCAGAAGTCACAAGGCCCTTGGGTCTCAGGTTTGGTTTTGTCTCCTATACAAGGAGGGCGGGGGCTCCACAGCTGGGCAGACAGACCCCTAAGAGCCTCGATTTGCCAAACAGAGAAATGGGGTGGGTCATGCTCACCTGCAGGGTAGGGTTGGGGTGAGGTGGGCAGCACCCTACCTGAATCCTGCCCACCAGGGACTCCCAATGCCAGAGTGGCCATGGGGCCCTTGGTGGCTGCTCAAACAGAGATACCAGGCCCCTTGCTCAGCCCAATCCTTGGGCCGGATAGAGCCTCAATGAGGCAGAAGGACAGCTCCTGGAAGGTGTGCCAGTCCATTCTGACCCCTCACGGAACTCAGTTGGTGCGGGGCGCGCGCACACACGCTCACATAACACAAATGACAGTGTCGGGGGGGGGGGTGAAGGCTCTAAGAAAATCCCCACCACAGGAAAGAGGTTGCCTCCTGCTCTGTCCTCCACTCCCAGACCAGGCTGGGCACCTGGACTCCCGGAGCCCTCCACAGACAGCCCAGCCCACCTTCAGAGTTGGGCGGCAGAACACACACCGTCCCTTCCAGGAGTGTGAGCTTGGGGAGACTGGAGCTCTTCCTCAAGCTGGGGTGCAGGGGCTGATGGCCTTCCAAAGCTGACTCCCAAAGCCAGGGACCAGCAGGGCACACAGGCCAGGACTTCTGAGAGGACTGGCCTGGATGTTCACAGGCGGGGCTGAAGTCCGACTGGGGAGGACACTGGTGACCTCCCAACACTCTCCAGTACTCCTGCCCGCCCCAGCCCTAGGACGGGCTGTAGGTCTGGGAACCATAACAGCCTGACCTGAGGGGGGCAGGCTCAGGGGACCCTCTGCTGGTCCTCTGGAAGGACTCACAAGTGGACAATAAATAGCCTGTCCTCCCTCACAAGTGCTGTGTGGACTCTGCTGAAAGGGTGGGCTCTGGCATCCTGCCTTGGATCTGACCCCGTGGGGAGCCCTGCCCCGGCCTGGGGCGCACAGTTAACTGGCCGGGCTTTCACGGGCCCGCACTGCAGGAAGGTTAGCGCTCCAGTGAGGCAAGACCCTAAGAGCTGCACCAGTGGAAGGTCCACTTTCCGCCCTGGGCCAGAGATGATGGCAGTGAAGGGGTGCGACTTGGAGGAGGTCTGGTGTGCTGAGGGAGCTAGCAGGCCAGTCTGTGCACACTTTGGGGCCACCCCAGGGGCTCCTGAAGTGCCTGCAATGCCAGAAGGACCAGTGCCTTGGCCCCTTGGCTTCCCCAACCCTCAACCCTCTCGAGGACTGGTGTGGGAGGCAGTGGACATCCTGGACTCGGAGGACTGCTCATAGCCGGGGATCCTGAGCTGCTCAGGCCAGTGACCTTGGCTGGCAATCAGAGGGGTTGGATCACTCCACACAGGTGAGTCTGTGTACTGCAGAAGGCAGACAAGGTGAGGTCCAGACCAGGGACACAGAGACCTGGTCTGGCTTGGGGCCTGACTGCAATGCTCAAGGTGGGCTCCGTGATAGAGGTGGACATCAGCTGGGCCTGGAGGGCAGCCAGGTGGGTGGAGAGCAGGGTAGGGCGCTCCAGGCACCAGGACAGCAGGGCAAAGGTTCCAGGAAGGGGAGGCGTGGCTGGGGAGGGACCTAGGGATGCGGGCTTGAGGTCAAGCCCGAGTCAGAGCTGCGGCCCCGGGGGTGGGCAGGGTCGCGACATGCTGCCGCGGCGCGGAGTCCCAGAGGGCGCGGGGTCGCCTCCCCACGCGAGGCCACTTGGTGGCGGGGGTGCGCGGACTGCCGGCGACACCGATACACGCACGGCAAGGCCGCCTGGACCCCGCCCGTCCTCGGCACTCAGCGCGCTGCACATTCCCCGGTCCAGCCGCCGCGACAGCCTCCGGGAAGAAGGCGCGCCGTGTCGCGGGTGACCTTCTCCGCGCAGCTTGAGCGGGGCCTACGAGCCCTGTCCCGCCTGCTCGCCACCATTGGCTGGGGCCCCGGTGCCCTTTAGAAACCCCGGCTCCCATTGGCTGCCGCGGCCCCTCCCTACGCGCCTCGGCCCCCGCCCGTGCAGGAGCTGCGCGTGCGCGGTCCGTGAATGTAAACGCGGAGGAAGGGCCGCGCCACGCTGTGCGCCTCCGCGGCTCTACTACACCGAGATAGTCCCGGGTAGTTCGCCGCGCCCCCGGCCCCCCGGCCCCCGCCAACCCCGCGAAGGGGCGCCCGGGCTCGCCCCGCAGCCGCCTCGGCCGCTCGCCCCGGTTTCCTGGGGCAACTCCGCGGCGCGGACCCCGGCGGAAGGGGGCGGGGTCTCGCTCTCCCCGCCCCCCGCGGAGGGATACGGGAGTCCACGGCCCAAAACCCCGGGGCGAGGCGGCCGGGGCGTGTGAGCTGCTTGGCCTGCCGCGCGTTCACGAGGTCCACGCGGGCTCCACTGGGGCCACTGCGCCGCGCGACGGCCTCGCCCGCGCGGGTCTCGGCGCTCCGAAAGCCGGTGCTCCCGCAGCGCTCGCCTCCCGGTGCCCGCGCGCCGTCCGGGGCTCGGGGCTCCGCGCGGCCCAGGGAGGCCGCCCTCCCGCGTCCGCGTCCGCGCGGGGAGCCGAACCCGGCGAGAGGCGGCGCAGAGCCCGGAGGCCTCGGGCCCGGGCCCAGCCGCCGCCCGCGATGCTGCTCTCCAAGTTCGGCTCCCTGGCGCACCTTTGCGGGCCGGGCGGCGTGGAACACCTCCCGGTGAAGATCCTGCAGCCGCCGGGTACGCGCGG